GTGGAAAAAAAAGGCTGCTAAACTCAGATAAAACATAATTTCTGTCATAATTAAGGATCAGATCAGCCTCTGTTTATAGATTAATAAGAAGTAACTATCACGCTGGATTTCACGTAAACAGACGGGATGATCTTAGCCACCTAGTACCTCCGCTTAATTTCATTTCTCTCCAGCGACTAGATCAGGAATCGGAATACACTAGACGGTTTGCAAGAACCTCGGAAGTGCGAGTTCAGCCAATCAGTGAAGAGCCAACCGTTCTGTGTTGGCGATGATTAACAAGATCGAGGATTTAAAGCCGGAACAAAGAGAATATTTGGTGAATTTTATCAAGGGGAAAGACGTTATTGTCCATCTTCCTACGGGATTTGGGAAAAAATTACATACGTCACGACCAAATAGCAGCGATTGGTTAAATAAAAAAAGTACCCGCCTACTGTCGAGCGAACGAATCCTAACGCTGCGAGGTCGGACGGTTTCTACGAAGCGAAACCGGCTCATGAATCTGGCTAGGATTATCAGCTGTGTTGGCGACGATTCCCGAGATCGAGGATTTAAAGCCAGAACAGGTTTTTAAGAGTGTTTCATTCAGAATCAGGATCTACAGAGTCATAAACCAGCGCTTTTATCTGCTTCGTCAGACTCTTGCAATGCATTGTGGTCTATATTGACTGGAGTGCACTACTTTTTCACCAACTGGACGTTCAAACAATCCTAAAAAAATGGCGTGACCTCTAGATTTTGCCTTAAGTTGAGAATAATGTGGACTTCCGGACAAAGCCAAAGTGCGTTTCTTTATTAAATATTGTTATGATCCTGTACGGTAAACCCGCTGCGTCGCTTTGTGTTTTTTTTTTGTTGACAGTGGTGCCCTTCCTGGAAGTGCTGATGAAGAGTGAATGTAAACCCCGGGACACGCTGGTGGACGTGTACGTGGAGCACCCAGGAGACACGGAGTTCATCTACATCCCGTCGTGTGTGGTGTTGTCGCGCTGCGGGGGCTGCTGCCAGGACGAGGCCATGGAGTGTGTGCCCACCCAGACAAAAAACGTCACGCTCCAGGTGAGACACACACTACAGATTAACATCGTCAGTTTTATTTGGTTTTTGTTTTATTTTAGCAGTAATCAATTGTCAAAATGTGAAGTTTTGTTGCGAGCAGGATGTCCTACATACACATGTACGGCACTGGACCTGACCCCTGCTTCTCTCCATGGAAATGAACAATAGCATCTTTTATTTATTATTATCATTATTATCATTATTATTATTATTTAATACAGATCGGGGCAGCTAAAATGACTGTTCAGCTTCAGATTTGTGTTGTAATGTGGCATGTTCTCAGGTCATGTTAATAATAGAAATGGTCCAGTTCCATATTTTGGAGTTTACCTTTTCGATATTTTCTGGAAAAGTGCAGTGTAAACATTAGGATGCCATCTTGCCATCCTCCTTAAGGAACCACTCAGCCATTCACACACATTCATACACCAGTGTACGCAGACGCTGTGGGTGAGATGGGTTAAGTGTCTTGCCCAAGGACACAACGACAGCGTTCATCAGTGGGAGATGGAACACATCCGTCAACCTGTGGGTTTGTGAATCTGACCGTTTTACCAATGATGTTTTATGTCGAGAGCGGGATTCAAACCGCCAACCTTCCGAAATCATTCAAAATCTATCAAAAAGTTTTATATTTTTGAACGTTTTTCAAACACACATTTAAACATTATTTTAAAACGTTGCCTTTTCTTGAACACTGCTGTACGTCCTTTATCTGTGTTTTATTTGTTTAAATGTTATTGTGTTGTCTGGAATATCCCACAGTATGGCATTAAACCTTTCTATCTTCATGGAAACCAAACCAGGCAAGTTACAGGTCAGATCTGTAAAGAGCAGAAATATATCGATATATCGTATTGTTTAATATGATGATACAGCAGCCCACGATATCGATACTGTATCTATATATCGATTTTTTTAGTATATTTTACTAAATTATTTTGTTACAGTTTTGTTGTTTGTTTAGTGCAGGGATGTCAAACTCAAATTCACAGACGACCAAAATTAAAAACTGGGTCAAACTAAATATTTGTTGAAACATTTCAGCAACATCTGCATGTTTTCTCTTCTTTGGAGATATGTAACGTTAAGCATTATCTTATTAAAATAAATGTTTAATAATAGTTGAATCCAGAATGAGCAGAATATTAAATAAATAATGTCTTTATAGCCGGTGGGCAGCTCTAATACATATTTAATATGATCTTGCGGGCCAAATGTAATTATATCTCAGGCCAAATTTGGACCCCGGGCCTGAGTTTGACATGTCTGGTTTAGAGGAAGAAAACAAATTTATGCGACACAATTGACATTTTCAGTGTTTTGATGATTAAAATTGGCTTTTTTCATAACGAACTTTGCACAAGAAGTGGTTTAACAAAGACTTTTAGTATCACCGCCACGATTTAGCCTTTATTTTTTATTGAACCTTATCAAATCGATTAGAAATATATCGTATCGAATCAAAAGCTCACTGTATCGAGACATGTATCGTATCGACAACTTTTTAATGACTCCCAGCTCTAGTGGCGAAAAAAAGTTGTTTTTCTTTGTATTTTTGAGCTATAAAACCAGCTGTAATTGAATAAATGTCAAAGTAGAGCTGTTTAATGTCACACTGTGGAACATTCCAGACATAAAAACAAGCAGGTGATGGACCCACAACCAAAAAAAAACCCACACAGTCCAGCTTCAGGACACATGACTGTTGTTCCGCAGACAGATCCTCCTCTGGTCTGGACTCGGCAGGTGTCCGAGCGGCTGGTATTCCAGATATGTTGTTTACCCGCACGTCTGTTTACGAGGCTCCTCTCCGCGACGCCGTAACCGCTCAAATCCTCCCCAAAAAAAATAAAAAATCTGTCCCGAAATCTCCCAAACACCCAGAGAAGGCGGCGTATTTTGGCTGTGGCTCCCAGGGTCACGAGACAATGCCGAAATTTCGATTGGGAAGAGTTTTGTAACAACTGTTGTGTCCTCTTTTTTTGGTTTCAAGGTAATGCGGTCGAGACCAATGGTATCGCAGCACACTCTAGAGCTAAAGTTCACGGAGCATACGCAGTGTGCATGCAGGTAACGCACCGACGAAACCAAAACGAAACACAAAAAAACGCGAAAATCTCAAATAATAATGTTTGTTTTTTTGTTTGTTGCAGAGAAAAGCAAGGGTTATCAACAGCAAAGAAACAATAGTAAGTACATTTTAAGTTTGTCGGTGAGTGAGTGAATGATCGATATTATGATGGTGGTGGGAAAAAGTGGGTATTATAACATGATTTTTAAATATTTTGATTTCATTTTTTTTATTTTAAAGGAAATTTAAAGGTCCTAGATGATGCAAACTTGACTGTTGTGATGTTTAAGACACGTTATAATGTTGTTACCTCGTCAAAAACTGAGCTGGAGACCCGTTTATTGTTCGTCTGTCTACATCTTCAAAGAACAGCACGCTCAGTTCCACCTTGTGATGTCATGAAGTGGTAGTTTTCAAGCTCCTTTTTTACCTTGAGTAGAAATAGTCAAAAACAGGGTTGGAATTAGTCTTGAAATTGGACTCAAATAAGACTTTAGTCACTATTTTTAGGACTTGACTTGATAAAACGGACTAAGACTTGTGACTCGACTTGGACTTGAAGGTCAGGGACTTGGGACTTGACTCGGACTTGAGGCCAATTTATCTTAAAAGTCATATAAACTGCAAAAATCTGAGCTATATTTGGTATTTTTTGTTGGTTTAAAGACTTGAAATGACTTGAAGCTCAAAGCAGACAACTTGGACTTGACTTGGATTTATGTGCCCGAGACTCGAGACTCGACTTGGACTTGAAGGTCAGGGACTTAGGACTTGACTCGGACTTGAGGCCTGTGACTTGAGAAGACTTGAGGAGCACTTTTAAATTCTTTCTGCGCCAGAGACTCGAGACTCGACTCAAACTTGAGGTCAAAGACTTGAGACTTACTTGAGACTTGCAAAACAAAACAAAGACTTGGTCCCGCCTCTGCCTCATGACATCACAAGGTGGAACGGAGTGTTTTCAGAACTACTCAGGTGAGGTAACAACATTATACGATCGGAAAATAGCGTAACGTGGCTTTTTCATTTGCGTTGTGCTGGGAGTGGAAAAGCTTTGGCAAAACGATTGGATTGTTGGTTAGATTTCAGAGATCGGGTCAAACTGTTGTGGTTCCCTTGAGCAAGACACTACGTTCAGTCTTGGCTGGATGTGTGTGTACGTGTGTGTACGTGTGTGTACGTGTGCGGTGGGTGGAGGCCGACGAGCGAATGAAGATCAGACTCGAAGTTTGAAAGAAGTTCGTCCATGGAGAATATAATTACTGTAGTGACTGACAATTATGTTTATGTCCTAGTTTTGACGAGTAGTAATTAGTCCTGGTTCAGTTCTGGTTCAGTCCTGGTTTAGTTTTGGTTTAGTCTTGGTTCAGTCCTGGTTTAGTCCTAGTTTAGTCCTGGTTTAACTCTGGTTTAATCCTGGTTTAGTCCTAGTTCAGTCCTGATTGAGTCGTTGTTCAGTCCTGATTTTGGCTCTGGTTCAGTCCTGGTTTAGTCCTGGTTTAACTCTGGTTCAGTTCTGGTTTAACTCTGGTTCAGTTCTGGTTTAACTCTGGTTTAGTCCTGGTTTAACTCTGGTTCAGTCCTGGTTTAGTCCTGGTTCAGTTCTGGTTTAATCCTGGTTCAGTCCTGGTTTAGTCTTAGTTTAGTCCTGGTTTAGTCCTGGTTCAGAGCTTGTTCAGTCCTGATTTAGCCCTGGTTCAGTCCTGATTAGTCCTGGTTTAGTCCTGGTGTAGACTTGGTTTAGTCCTGGTGTAGACTTGGTCTAGTCCTGGTTTAGTCCTGGTGTAGACTTGGTCTAGTCCTGGTTTAGTCCTGGTGTAGACTTGGTCTAGTCCTGGTGTAGACTTGGTCTAGTCTTGGTTTAGTCCTGGTGTAGGTCTGCTTTAGCTCTGGTTTAGTCCTGGTTCAGTCCTGGTTTATCTTTAGTTTAGTCCTGGTTCAGCCCTGGTTTAGTCCTGGTTTAATCCTGGTGTAGACTTGGTTTAGTCCTGGTTTAATCCTGGTGTAGACTTGGTTTAGTCTTGGTTTAGTCCTGGTTTAATCCTGGTGTAGACTTGGTTTAGTCTTGGTTTAGTCCTGGTTTAATCCTGGTGTAGACTTGGTTTAGTCCTGGTTTAATCCTGGTGTAGACTTGGTTTAGTCTTGGTTTAGTCCTGGTTTAATCCTGGTGTAGACTTGGTTTAGTCTTGGTTTAGTCCTGGTGTCGTCCTGCTTTAGCTCTGGCTTAGTCCTAGTTTAGTCCTGGTTCAGTCCTGGTTTATCTTTAGTTTAGCCCTGGTTTAGTCCTGGTTGAGTCCTGGTCAAGTCCCGGTCCAGTCCCGGTCCCACTGCAGATCTGGCGGGTCTGTGGTCTGGCCGAGGACCACCCGCGGGTCTCTGTTCAGTTCCAGTTGCACTTTTACTTTGGCTCTAATCTTAACCGCAGGTGTCACGCCGCTAACCTATTTTTATTTTTAGTGCTTGGTAAATAGAGCTGTGCAGACCCGGTGAGTAGAGTGGGCAAAAGTCTCCTCATAGTCCTCAGATAGTCCACGTCTCTGTTGTGGATCTGAAACTCTGGGCTCGGGTAAAAACTCAAGAAAAACACAACGATTTGGCTCAAAAATTTTGTTTTTTTCCTTCAGTTTTGGTCTCATTTTCTGGCTTTTTGTATAAACGGACCCAACTTAGCCTTTAATATTCCACAGTTTGGCATTATTCTCTACTTTTTTTATTACTTATCTTGAAAAAACAGAAATTTCCAAGACTTTTCCAAGACTTTCAAACGGCAAAAGTCAAGAAATTTACATAAAACACTGAATTTGACAAACAAAAATTGTCAATTTGACAGAAAAATATCTGGATTTTTGTTTAGTTTCGTTCACATAAACCACAAAAATCCTGCATTTTTAGGCTGAGTTTTGACTTCTCTCAAACTGAAAACGCCGTTCCACCTTGTGATGTCACGCGGTGATACGGGGAAGTGCTCCACCGTGTTTTTAAAGTCAATACTAATACCTGTAATAATAATAATGATAAAAATACTTTGACTAGAATCGTTTGGATGATTTCAGCGCTGGACTTTAGACGATTTCTACTGAACTAACTCAGTAAAAGGAGTTGTTCACGTGACAAACTCCCACCTCATGACATCACAAGGTGGAACGGCGTATTTTAAACTCGTCTACACTTGTCTACATTTTGAAACAGTCTAATAACACAGGGATGAGTCAAACACGTGTGAATGAAACAAAACATGAGGAATACAGGGTTCCCACGGTCATGGAAATCCTGGAAAACTCATGGAAATTGAAAGTGTCATTTTCCAGGCCTAGAAAAAACACAGAGTTTTGTAAATTCATTGAAAGTTTTGGAAAAGTCATGGAATTTTAGTATGTGTTTCACGCAATTACAACGTCAGTGGTTCCCAAAAAAAAATAAAAAATTCTGGGGATTTTAAAAGTCACAAAACTTTGCGAACCAAATCAATCGACATTATTCGTAAATCACAAAATAAAGTTGGATTATTGAACATTATTCAACATTAATGAGGAAGTTTTATCAAGTTTTAAACAATGAAAAACAGTAACTGAAGCGTCAATAAAAGGATCCATAAGTCGATCTTTTTGGACTTTAAATTTAGAACATTTCTTTTTCTTTTCAACGTTCAATTGAACCGGCAATACTGGAACAAAATAGTCAATACATAATTACAAAAAGATTAGAAATTATACAAAACAACTCCCAACGTCTGCGCCTTTTGTTTAAAAGACACGACAATAAATGCACTGACAGGATTTTGAATTTAAGTTAAATTGAAAGTTGAATTAAAAGTTAAAAAACTACAACCCCAGACCATATGGTGAGAGGAAAGAGTTAACATTTCATATTTAGTCCTAAAAGTCTGATCATTTCTACACATGTAGGTGCCGTAAAATCATGGAAATGTCACTTTAGGTTCATGAAAAAGTCATGGGAAAGTTTTGAAATGTTGTCAGTGAAAACGAGCGGGAACCTTGGGAATATAACGTGACTCGACATGATGTGATTTTGCGCAATATCCGCCCCTTAACGTGCGAAATATAAATGAGTTTTCACAGTCCTTTTGAGCTCGTGAGAATCCTAAACGCGTTCTTAGAGGCCGTGCGGGTTCAGAGGCGGCGGCGGCGGCGAAGGGCTGTGGAGGTCAGAGTTTCTAATAGGATCAGGTCAGGTGGACGCGGCTCTCCTGTCCGTGCGCACGTACACCGACCGACCGAGCGACCGCTGCAGCTGAGCGAGGCCGACCTCAAGACCGTCGTTTTATCCGCGGCCCGGGGAGCGTCTAATCCAACTGGAGACGAGCGCAGACCTAAACTCAGCGCGACTCTCACGGTATCAGAGCCACAGTGACCCCGTGACCTTTCACCTATTTAAAGAAACACCTGAGTCACCAGCGAAGCTTATGTAAGACGAACCTGACCTCCACATGACTCTGCATTGTTGAGTAATACTGACAAAAATGTCAACAAAAAAAGAATATTATTGGATTCTCGCAGTATTTTTAATCCAAGAAAAGTTTTGGGATTAATCAGAAAGTGTCTCTAAATGTTTTTGGTGGAGGATTAGACATAAACAACTCAATGTTTTGACTTTTTAGGCTTAAAAAAGAGAGAACTAAACCAGGACTGGATCAGGATTAATTCAGGACTAGGACCAAGTCTACAATAGAACTAAACCAAGGCTTCACTAGGACTAAACCAGGACTAGAATCAAGTCTACGTCAGAGCTAAACCAGGACTGGACCAGGACTAGAACCAAGTCCACAAGAGAACTAAACCAGGATTCCACTAGGACTAAACCAGGATTAGAACCAAGTCTACCGCACATCTAAACCAGGACTCGGCCAGGACTAAACCAGGACTAGAACAAGGACCAAATCAATTCTATTTCAGGACTTTAATAGGATCAAACCGGATCAGACCATAAGAACTCAAACCTGAGACTAAACCTGGACCTAAACCAGGACTAGAACCAAGTCTACAGCAGAACTAAACCAAGACTTGACTAGAACTAAACCAGGACTACAACAGGACCAAACCAAGTCTATTTCAGGACTTTAACTGGATCAAACCGGGACAACTGCGACCATAACAAACCGTACTTAAACTAAAACACAAAAATTAAACGGAAACGTAATAATACTTTTTACTATGGATGTAACAATAATCGAAATATCGTGATATTGTATCGTCAAAAGTCTCACAATAATATCGTGGGCTGTCACAATATATCGAATCAAAAGTTCCTTTGCTTAAATGTGTCGTTTTATTGTAGTAACAGCTTATAAACATCGGTAACTACATATCCCATGATGCATTTCATCGCAGACAACATGAAGAAATATGTTTTTACTTGAATTCTTGGGATTATGATGGCAATAATTCACAGCAAAATCTTGTCAAACTATTTTAAAAGCAAAAAACGTGTCTTATCTTCAAAATATCGCAATAAATATCGTACTATAAGATGCGTATCGTGATAATATCGTACCGAGAGAGTTCGATATCGTTACATTTTCGTTGCGTTTTTACCCATTTGACCGTCAGATTTCATGGATATACTTTTAATGCCATACTGTGGGATTTTCTAAGGAGCAGTAACATCTCCACCTGAACTTTTGTTGTTGTTTTTCTCCTGAAACGGCGAGCAGGAGATAAGATGTTAGAGATTGTCGACAAAGACTGAAGATTTCACTTTGAACTTTAGATCTTCGACTGATACTTGGACAATAGTTTACGAGAACAGTTTGTTATTGTTAAACTTGTCCTGGTTTGACCCGGTCAAAGTCCTGAAATAGACTCGGTTTGGTCCTTGTTCTAGTCCTGGTTTAGTTCTAGTCAGGTTTTGGTTTAGTCCTGATGTAGACTTGGTTCTAGTCCTGGTTTAGTCCTAGTGGAGTCCTGTTTTAGTTCTGTTTTATACCTGTTTCTAGTCCTGGCTTAGTCCTTGTTTAGTTTCGCTGTAGATTTAGTTCTAGTCCTGGTTTAGGTCCAGGTTTAGTCCGAGTTCTGGCGTGGTTTGAGTTCTTCTGGCCTGAGTTCTTATCTGTGCGTTCTGGATGAGTTCTGATCTGTTTAGTCTCACAGTCGGCCTTTGTTTCCTGATAGAGTCCGTTATGTCGTCTACGTTCACTCCCAAATATCATACGACGATTTTTCATAAATGTTTAGTCTGCGTCATCGGGTTTTAGTCTTGAAGATTAACTTTTTTGGTGAGGACATCTCCATGGAAACGCTGGGCTTTGTTTCCACAGTATGGCTTTATCAAACGGGTCTATTTTTGCATTTATATCACTTCATTATTTATCTCCAAAACTAGTTTCAGTCCTGTTTTAGTTCTGGTTTAGTTCTCGTTCAGTCCTGGTTTAGACTTGGTTTAGTCCTGGTTCAGTTGTGGTTTAGACCTGGTTTAGTTTTGGTTTAGTCTTATTTTAGATCTGGTTTAGTCCTGACTTAGACCTGATTTAGACCTGGTTTAGTCCTGATTTAGACCTGATTTAGACCTGGTTTAGTCCTGATTTAGACCTGGTTTAATCCTGGTTCAGTTCTGGTTTAAACCTGGTTTAGTCCTGGTGTACACCTGGGTTATAGTCCTGATTTGGATCTGGTTTAGTCCTTGTTCAGTTCTGGTTTAGACTTGGTTTAGTCCTGGTTTAGTTCTGGTTTAGTCCTGTTTTAGATCTGGTTTAGTCCTGACTTAGACCTGATTTAAACCTGGTTTAGTCCTGATTTAGACCTGATTTAAACCTGGTTTAGTCCTGATTTAGACCTGTTTTAGTCCTTGTTCAGTTCTGGTTTAGACCTGGTTTAGACCTGTTTTAGTCCTGGTTCAGTTCTAGTTTAGTCCTGGTTTAGACATGTTTTAGTCCTTGTTCAGTTCTGGTTTAGACCTGGTTTATACCTGTTTTAGTTCTGGTTTAGTCCTGGTTTAGACCTGTTTTAGTTCTGGTTTAGACCTGGTTTATACCTGTTTTAGTTCTGGTTTAGTCCTGGTTTAGACCTGTTTTAGTCCTGGTTCAGTTCTAGTTTAGTCCTGGTTTAGACCTGGTTTAATTTATTTTCAGTTTTATTTTGAAAAACAAACAAACAAGTGACACACAGATGGATTGATTGATTGTGTGAATGTTTTCTTGACGTAAACTTTTTTGAAAGCTGTTAGACTTTTTTTTCCGTGGTCTCGAGGAAACCTGTTGCTTCAGCGTTTTCCGTCGGGGAGCTGGAGTGCGGCGCTAGCCCGAGGGACGTGCGTGTCTAGGACGTTTGCGTGCTCGCGGTGTGCGGCCTGTGCAGTGTGTGTAGCTTAGCCTCTCTCTGTCCTCTGTGTTTTCTTGCAGCCAGTGTGCGCCTTGCTCCGAGCGGAGGAAGCGCCTGTACATTCAGGACCCTCTCACCTGTACATGCTCCTGCAAATACTCTCACTTAGACTGCACGGCCAGAAAGCTCGAGCTAAACGAGCGGACATGCAGGTCTGTGCCCCCCCCCCACTCCACCTCAGACTCCACTTTCAGATCTTTGTTTCTCCTCCTCCGAACTCTGCTCCTCCTCCTCCTCCTCCTCCACCTGTCCCTCCTCCACCTGCACTCTCCACACACACCTACAGGAGACTAATAACCCGGCTCGACTCACGGGGTTTAGTACTGCACTGGAGGGAGTAGTAGTAGTAGTAGTAGTAGTAGTAGTAGTATCAGTAATGGTACTAGAGTAACATGAGTAGCGAGAGTATAGCAATGTTTGTAGTAGACTAGATAGTTTGTGAGAAAATTGGGTTATTTGCAAAAGTAGTATTTTTGTAGTAGTTGTAGTAATTGTTGTAGTAGTAGCATTAGTAGTAGTAGTAGTAGTAGTATCAGTAATGGTACTACAGTAACACTAGTAGAAAGAGTATAGCAATATTTTGTAGTAGACTAGATGTGAGAAAAGTCGAGTAGTAGCAAAAGTAGTATTTTTTATATTTTATTTTTTAGTAGTAGTAGTAGTAGTAGTAGTAGTAGCAGTAACAGTAACAGTAGTAGCAATATTTGTAGTAAACTAATTTGTGTAAAATGGGATAGTTGCAGAAGTAGTATCTTTGTAGTAGTAGTAATTGCAGTAGTAGTATTAGTAGTAGCAGTAACAGTAATAGCAACAGTAGCAATACTTGTAGTAAAGTAATTGTAGAAGAAGAAGTTGTATTTTTGTAGTAGTAGTAATAATAGTACTAGTAATTGGAACAATACTTATAGTAGAGTGAGTAATTTCTGTAAAGTGAGATAGTTGCAAAAGTACTATATTTGTAGTAGCTATAGTAGTATTAATACCCTAGTGGCAGTAATAGTAATAATAGCAGTAGTAGTAGCAGTAGCAGTAACAGTAGTAGTGACAGTAAAGCAATATTTGTTGTAGACTAGGTAGTCTGTGAGAAAAGTTGGTTAGTATTATTTTATTTTATATATATATATTTTTTGTAGTAGTAGTAGTAGTAGTAATTGTAGTATTATTAGTAGTAGTAATAGAAGTAGTAGTAACAGTAATAGCAACAGTAGCAGTACTTGCAGTAGATTGATTAATTTGTGTAAAACAGGATAGTTGTAAAAGTAGTATTTTTGTAGTAGCGATAGTAGTATGTAAGTCTAAATTACAGTAAAGTTACTATTATTATGATTTATTTATTATTGTTTGTATTATTTGTATTATTTTCAGTGTTAATTTGAGTTGAAATAATTTAAAATGACTCCAGGTTGTGAGTTGAGCCGTTTAACCTCCTGTAGAGTGTTTTTTTGTGCGGTGTGTGTGTGGTGCATGCGTGTCTTGCCTCTTTGCTTGTGTTGTTGTTGTGTTGTTGTTGTGATGTTGTTGTTGTTGTGTTGTTGTCGTGTTGCTGCTGTGTCGCTGTCGTTGTCGTCTTGTGGCCGTGTCGTGCTGTCGCTTGCTCGCTGCGTCTCAGTTTTAAGTGTCGTTTTAGTCGAAAACGCCCCGTGGTGAGTGAGTGAGTGAGTGAGTGAGTGAGCGTTCAGACGGGAGTGTGCTGTACCACTTTACCACACGGTCACCGGTTTGGATGAAGCTGCGCTCGATCCAAACGCACAAACACACTAGTCCAGACGGCAGAGCTGAAAGTGAAAACCTAAACTACACGGTTCGCACATGAATGAATCCTATTTTATTTTATCTCTAAAAATGTAATATGTTTCGCAAAAGTGTGAGAAAGCTAAAAATGGGTTTTACTTTTGTGTTAAACGGACCAACCAAAAGCTAATACGGTTACTCAATATTTAAATCGTTCTGTATCGCTGGAGGTTCAAATAAAATCAAATGATGGCATAAAACTCATCGTCTAAACAGAAACAGAGGACTCAGACACCAGATCTAAACAAATAAGAGAACAACAGAAAAAAAAAAAAAATAATAATAATAATAATAATAAAAAAAATAAAATAAAATAATAATAATAATAATAATAATAAATAAAATAATAATAAATATAAAACACATAAATAAAAATATAAAACATAACAATAATAATAATAATAATAATAATAATCAGATAAATAAATACATAATAATAATAAATAAATAAAAAAACACTAAATTAGTAAACCAATTGACATAAACAAAAATAATAAACACATTTTAGAATACTAATCTGTACTAAAACTAGTATCGAACCTAGACACTGTTTGGGGCAGGTATTGATACTAAAAAAGTCCCATTCATAGGACAGAAATAGTAGTTTTAGAATGATCTGGAGCTGTATCGGAAACAAGAATAAGGCCTCATAGACTAGTTTACACCCATGGAACATTCTGGAACCTGCCTGGAATACTGCGGGATTACACAGATATAAGAATACACTGTAATATAAAAGAAAGAACTTCGATTTAATATTGAAAATCACATTCTATCGTCTGAAGAAAAGGTGTTTTTAATTTGTTTTTAATCAAGCCTGTTTCCTTAGTTCCTTAGACAAAACTATATCGTACTGTGGAATATTCCAGGCAAACCTTCCACTAGAAAATGTCCATAATGCATCTTTAGAATTTCCTGATAACCTGAGTGAGCGGCTTCTCTCGGATCACGAGTTGAATCTGACGTCGTGAGCAGAACGCGGTCTTATCCTGATGGAAATGTGGTCGGATAAAGTCCATTACACGGACCACAGCTGTGAAAGGACAAAGTCGGAAAGACAGAAATACGACCAGCCCGTCGCTTTAAGCAGGATTTCAAAATCACCGTGAGTTTTAGCGTCTCGCATAAGCAAAACATGTGAGGATCCATTCATAATGATAAGATCTGTTTATGTAACTGTCCTTTTTATGCGATCATTTGATTTCATTTGAACCTTCAGCAATACATAACCACTTAGTATAATTAAATATCTCTTATCTTACCTAATTTCGTTTAAGCTTTAAACATGAAATCTTGGGATCTTAAATCTCAGAAACATTGGCGAAATTTGACACAAGGTTTTCACTCGGCGGCCGTGTCACTTGTAGTTTTTGTGGTGGTGTTTTTGTAGTTTTTATGCCTCTCAAAGTGTGTGAAACTTTGAGTGTTTTGCTGTCGTGTTGTGTGATGTTGTGTTGTTGTGTTGCTTGTAACTCACAGTTTGGTTTAGTCCATAACATTGGTTCTCAAACTGCAATACGCACACCATTTTTATTGTATTTGACCCTGCTTTATTTTGGCGGTTGTAGAGGGTTTAGAAGTCCTGGTTTAGACCTGGTTTAGTCCTAGTTCCGAGCTGATTTTGGGCATGTTTTAGGACTTTACAAGACCTGGTCTAGTCCAGGTTTACTCCTAGTCAAAGGCTTGATTTAAGTCCATCTTAAGACCTGGTTTGGTTGTGGTTTAGTCAAGATTTAGACCCTTTTTAGACCGTTATAATACCTGGTTTAGTCCTAGTCAAAGGCTTAACTTTAAGACCTGGTTTTGTTTTGGTTTAGTCCAGATTTAGTTCCATTCAAAGGCTTGGTTTAAGTCTTGGTTTAGACCATCTCTTAAAACCTATTTTACTTCTGGTTTAGTCAAAGTTTAGACCCCTTTTAGACCATTATAATTCCTAATTTAGTCCTAGTCAAAGGCTTGATTTAAGTCCTGGTTTTATCTCAGTTTAGTCCAGATTTAATCCAAGTCAGAGGCTTAATTTAAGTCTTGGTTTAGACCATCTTAAGACTGGGCTGGGTTCTGGTTTAGTCAAAGTTTAGAGTGTTTTTAGACCATTATAAAACCTGGTTTAGTCCTAGTCAGAGGCTTAATTTAAGTCCTGGTTTAGTCTTGGTTTAGTTCTGATGGTAATTATACTTAGTTGGTGTGAACAGTTTGGAGAACCACTTGTGTGTAATGGAGTCCTCCCAAACAGAAACAGCCTTTAGAGTTAACAAGCCCCCCTCCTCACCTCACCTCACCCCCCCCACCGTTTGACCTTTTAACCCCTGCACTTCCACGACCCCTGACCCCGGCGGCCCCCCACACGGATACGGATTTGGCGCTGCACACTTCGGGGTGGAGGGACCCGGTGTGGCGCTCCAATTGGCTGCTTCAGATTCAGGAGGCCACGGCTTAAAACTCTACCACCCTGCCCCCTCCACACCCAGTAAACGTACAAATATAAGATTATAGGTCTATTTTAATACGTCAGGGTCATTTTACCGGATTTTTATGCCTTAAAAACAAAAACAAAAACAAAAAAAACAGATCTAATCCATTTCAAACAGTTTCAGTCGTCCAAAGTTGCTCCTCACTTACCTTTATGCCGTCTGAACCTCTTAATTATTCACTGTGATGAGTTTATAAGAGCTTTTCACAACACTCAGAGACCGGTGTGGCGTAAAACTAACAGGAAATAGCATGCTAATATGCACTTCCTGATTCGCAGACAATTAAACGTTTTTTAAAGGTCCTATATTACATGAAATTGTTGAAATTATTGAAGTTATAATGTTGTTTCCTCCTCAAAAACAGACCTGGAGTTGTCCTGGTTTAGTCCTAGTTCAGAGCTGATTTCAGGCATGTTTTTAGGACTTTACAAGACCTGGTCTAGTTCAGGTCTAGTCCTAGTCAAAGGCTTGATTTAAGTCCATCTTAAGACCTGATTTGGTTCTGGTTTAGTCAAGATTTAGACCCTTTTTAGAGCATAATAATACTTGGTTTAGTCCTAGTTAAAGGCTTGAATTAAGGCTTGGTTTAGACCATCTTAAGACCTGGTTTAGGTCTGGTTTAGTCAAAGTTTAGATCCTTTTTAGAGCATTATAATACCTGATTTAGTCCTAGTCAAGGGCTCGATTTAAGGCTTGGTTTAGACCATCTTAAGACCTGGTTTAGTCAAAGTTTAGACCCTTTTTTGACCATTATAACATTTGGTTTAGTCCTAGTCAAAGTTGTGTTTTGTTTCATTCAGAGTTTGGGTAACACTTTTTTATTAGTCTGTCTACATCTCCAAACCTCAAAACTCTCGGTTCCACCTTGTGATGTCATTCATGAAACGGTAGTTTTCAAGTTAACAACCATTTTTTAAAAGTTTTTGTTCAGTAGAGATTGGCAATTCCAGGGTTCAAATGATCCAAATGATCCTAGTGAAGGTGTATGGAGTTTAAAAACACAGTGGAGCACTTTCTTTATTACCACATATATTACATCACAAGGTGGAACAGAGTGTCATTATACAGGATTGTGCGTGAATGAAACAAAACACAACTCCAGATCTGTTTTTTGATGAGGAAACAACTTTATAATGTAGATTTAAACAACTAGATCCTTTCATTAGACAAACATTGCACAATAAATGACAAATTTTGCTCAAACCTTCGGGGAAATAAACGGGTACAGACTTTTGAAGTGTCTGGCAAGCACTACGACATTTTGGATGGAAAATTATATTCACCTGTGGCTGGGTATGTGAACAATTAACCAATAAACCAAAGAAAACAGCACAAATCCCCTTCCAGAACCCCAAAACTCCACCTTCACTGTCTAATTCTTGTCTCATACTCACTCATCTGCATCTTTTTTAGTCTAAGTTTAGTCTCGACATTCCCTCTAACCCTTTTGTTTCCCCTCTGTGCAGATGCGAGCGGCCGCGGAGGTGAGACAGAGACACTGTTTTGAAGGAAATCTGCTACAGCACTTTGAACCGAGGATCATTCCTACAGGACTCCAAACAACGTGCAAGGAAAGGACTTGCAGTTCATCGACAACGTGTATGCTGCTATGTAACAGACCTTTTAATTTTATTATTTATGGCAACGAATGCGCCGCCGGGCGTGTGATCGAAAGCAGTACAGGACTCGAAAGAGAAAATAGACTTATATATATATTTGAACCTTCACTGGATGCTGGTCTGCTGTGGAAGAAACACATTATTTTTCGTAAAACTGATCACGCTTCACGGAGAAACGCAAACGAAAGATGGACTATTGAGTCTCGACGCAGTGAAGCGCATGTACTTGAACTGAAGGTGGGTCCCGAGGCGCCCGTCAGTCATGCCTCAGGGCTGGAGGTGGCTGCTCTGATGGAGATGATAATGTGAAGATGAAGTTTTTCCCAAAGGCGCGGCACAAGGACGAGGTGAGAGGAGGAGGAGGAGGAGGCTGTTTCCAATGCAGCGGGGACTCTCTGTGAATTTAATAAAGCAACGTTAGACTAAATCAGCTGCTAAAAAAGCCCAAAATTGATTAAATGGTACCACTTTTTTTATTGCAATACTGTGAGCGGGCTTGCATCTCCACAAACATGACTCTTAATGCTGTTTCTTTGGCGATAACCTTCCGCAATCTGGCTTCAAACGTTTTGATCTCCATGGGGAATGTTCCAAAGTGTGGGTTTAACTTTTTATTTTCCATGGATTCAAGCAGAATCATGAACCTCTTCAGGAAGTTACACAGTCGCCACGTTTACATGAGAGCTTTAATTCCGAATAAAAATAATTTAATTCTGAATAAAAATGTATTCCACTTTAAAAAGACCATGTAAACGCTCAATTCCAAATAAAAATGATTATTCAGAATTAAACTTAATTCCGAAGTAAGTGGGTGGTCTATTCAGATTTTAAAGCCGAATTAATTTATTCCTAAACGTTTATTCTTCTTAAAAATAATTCCGATCGTTCAGCGCATGATCGTTGGGTCGCACTTCGATCCGGACTTGCGAGTGGGAGCTGAACAGAAGATGCAAAAGTGGCGACGCGTTTTCACTTTTTATTCCGCGTTTAGAGCGGAAATCTGCGTGCATACGGTGACGCATTCGATCAGGTATGCACGCCAAGTTTCCGTGTACTGTATGTATGTGACGTAAACACGTATGAGATGTGAGCAGATCTGACCAGAGTTTTGCGTCTTGGGCAGTGTCGACGGAAACGTTACGGCGACGCGTATTCAACAACTTTTCCCTTCACTCTGGAGGGTGATTTCAGATTTTTGTGTTTTTATGCCCCAAAAACACCGTCACCTATTAAACGAAAGACACTTCCGATAAAATATTTAGTCGTTTTTATCTGAATTCTCCAGCTACTGCTCAAGTATCATCGAAACCACTGTGGAAAAAGTTTGGATCATGTTCAATCCTTGGCGTAACGACAAACCGAGCTGACAAAAAAAACCAAAAAACAGTAGCAGCTGAAGTGTGTCGCCGTAAATACGCTCGTGTCTCTGTCCAATCAGAGCCCTTCCCGACCTCCAGACGTCGAGCGGAATTAAATAAAGGCGATTTAACGCGTTGTCCTCAATTCGGAATTATTATTTCCATGTCATTCTGAACAATTTTATTCAGAAAACACCATGTAAACGTGGCCAGGGTGTCTTTAAAAATCAGAAACCATTTTGTGGACTCAATTTCCAAGGAATCAACAGCAGAACAAAGAAAAATGCACACAAAAAAAAAAATCAATCTTAGCTCACCGTGATTGGTCAAAACCACCTGTCACTCAACATCCTCCACGCTGCATTTCTAACGACTTCCTCCTCAAGCCCCGCCTCCTCTTTGTGACTCCGCCCAATCAGGAAGAACAGATGTGTTTGAGTTTCTTTGCATTTTTTGTTGTTTTTTTTCAGACCAGGGTGTTTAAAGGGATTCGACTGTAGGTATATACGGAGACTAGACGAGCCGATCCCGACGGGCGATCGGCTACGAAAAGAAAAAAACTTCCCATTTTTATTTAAACACTTCCAAAGACAAACGACCTGTATATACTTACTCGGGATCCCGCGTACACTACATTTATTTATAGACAGTATTGTTCATATTTATATTCAGTGTTAAATTTATTTGTCCTCCACTTTTGATCCGAACCGTCAGCCGCCATTTTGACTGAAATGTTTGACACATTCCTGATGCTTTTAATGTCGCGGTTGGGCACTGCGAAAGACGCGACGCGATGTTCGTTAAAATGGTGGTGAAAATTCAGAATGTTCATCTTGGTTTGAGGAGATTTAACGAGATTCGTGAGTGGATCGGTGAAGAATTTTGAAAACATTTGGACAGGTTTCTTTTGTTTTTTTTGTTTTTAAATCATACTTTTTTATTTATTTGTATTTATTTTGGCGACAATTCATGTAATGTCTCCCTTTAGGTGTTACCGTAGACTGTATTTATAAATGGATAAATTGGAAGTGAGCATGAGCGCGCTTCCGGCTCCATCGACTCTGGCTCCAGTTCACTTTTTATTGAAATTCTATTGAGCTGCCGCAGTTGTCAGGTTTTAAAATGTTCGTTTTAACTTTCGTGATGAGAGAATTCTCCAGCTGCTGCGCAATTATCATCGGAACCACTGCGAAAAAAAAGTTTGGATCATGTTTGTGTCCGTGGCGTAATGACAAACCAGATGACAGAAAAGCTGATAGTAGCTGAAGTGTGTGTTTTTTTTCCCGTCGACGTAAATACGTTCGTGACTCTGTCCAATCAGAACCCTTCCTGACCTCCAGACATTCAGCGGAATTATGGCCCCTTCCACACTAGTACATACTTGAGTCGTTTTCGTTGCGGATGAATTCCGCCGCACTAATCCGATGGAAAACGGCTCCAGAGACGGAACAATCTGGTGCCGCCAGCTCCCACGAATGTATCTGAGTACAGAGCTGATCCGGCACCGTGTGGACGCCTGAAAATGTCGATACGCTGACGTCGGAGCTCTAGTTGTGCTCTTATTGGACCACGTCACTGTGAGTTGCTCCTTCCCGATTCTCTGGGTTCGTGACATCAGCAATGTTGTGGAAAACAGTTTAAACAAACCAGAGACAAACGGGAAACAGCGGAGCTACAACTACTCGCTAGAACACGGTCCACGAAAAGACTTGCCATCTTCCTTGGGTCGAAATCGGCTGCCGCAACTTACTCGTGTTTCTCGTGTTTCTCTAGTTCTATTTGTACGACCTGCAGACGTATAATCTCTAAAAAGATTAACACGAACCATCTCCAACGCGACAGAAACACAGAACGGACTCATTTCAGCAGAACACCCCTCTGTCACAGAAAGAACACTCATTCCACCGAGTCGTGTCCTTTAGTCCGACAGAAGCTGAACCGCAAACCAAACGTTAAACAAAACATCTTAAAATCCAGCGTTACGTTCGGTAAAAGCTGAACCTTGTCGTCGTCCACGAAAAGACTCGAAATCGGCTACTGCGATCACGGACATAGAAACGACGTGTCTGGACGCAGATCTTTTCCGGTGATTTGTTTTAGTGTAAACGTGACCTAAATAAAGCCGATTTTTTGTGCGTTTTCCATGTAAACCTCAATTCCGAATGATTATTTCCATGAGAACTCAGAGAATATTTTATTTCCAAACTATTTAATTCAGTCACGTGTTAAAATGTTCGTGTTAATCTTCCTTTTTATTTCGCAACGTTGTCCGTAAATCAATTCCCGTTCCAAATTGAGCTTCTTCTTTCGCCTGAAGCCAAACTCTACTCTCTCTAAGTCCATTTTTATATACAGTCTACGGGTAGAACTCGCAAATAATGAAGGTAGTTTCTCGTACTTTTGACTTTACGGGCGAAATGTTCAAAACAAGTTCAGAATTCAACCGGTGGAACTGACGTAGATGTTTTTTTTGTTTGTTTTTGCAGTGTGGGGCAGCCGTAGGTGGGGGAAAAGGGGGGAATGACCGATAGATACCCCGGCTGTGATGCCCCGGGGCAGGTGGGAGGGGCAGGCCGGGTCAGCGTGAGAAAACTGGACATGTGGTTTTGCACTTAAGGCCCAAGAGGAGGACTACACTGTAAAAAAAAACAAAAAACGTTACTTGAATTCTGAATCTTGATTTGAGTAATATCGACTTTTATCTGACTTGACGCCTTAATATTTGATACTTTGCTCGATTTGACGCAATTTATGAAGACCGATTTTGAGTTTTTCAATAATCAAGTGACTACGTACACACTTTTGGACTTTGGTTTTAGTCCTTTTCTAGTCCTGGTTTAGTTCCGCGTCCATCGAGGCTACTAAAAAAAATCTACTCAAATCAAGATATTTTTCTGAATTCAACAGTTTGTAGTTTTTTTTTTGGCAGTGCAAAGCTGGTCTTGTGCCCAAATTTGGTGTAAGACTTGGGCTCGAAGTGAGAGGGAGGCAACGGGACTTCTCTGTTTAATATAAACAAAACTAAATAATACAAAAAAATACAATGAAATCACCACTATTTAAACTCATTTTCAGGTGCAACTGTTACAGAAAAGGACCTATATAACCACAACATGAAGTAATGGAGTAGTTTTAGGTTTAGTGTTCAGAAAAAAATCGCAACATTATGAACACGATTTTGGGATTTATTTTAGTGAGTAAAAAAAAGAAAAAGTCACTAATGCATTTTACCTCATACGTATGCAGTGGTTTTACCTGTGGAGCTTTAGTTTAGTCCTGCTTCAGTCCTGGTCCAGGTCTGGGTCAGTCTTAGACCAGACTTTGTCCAGTCCTGGTCGAATCCTGGTTTGGTCTTGATTCAGTCTGAGTCCAGTCCTGGTCCAGGCCTCGTTTAGTCGTGGTTTAGCTTTTGTTTTAGTCCTGGTTTAGTTTTGGTTCAAACCTGGTCCAGTCCTGGTCCACTTCTGGTCCAGTCCTGGTCCAATCCTCTTTTAACAATTTTTTTTAGTCCTGGTTTAGTCCTGGTCTAGCTTGGGTTTAGTCCTGGTCGAGTCCTGGTTTAGATCTGGTCCAGTCCTGGTTTAGGTCTGGTTCAATCATGGTCCAGTCTTGGTCCAGTCCTGGTCCAGTCGTGGCTCAGTCCTGGTCCAGTCCTGGTTTAGTCCTGTTTTAGTCCTGGTTCAATCATGGTCCAGTCCTGGTCCAGTCGTGGTCAAGTCTTGATCGAATCCTGGTTTAGTCCTGGCCCAGTCCTGGCTCAATCATGGTCCAGTTCTGGTCCAGTCCTGGTTTAGTCCTGGTCCAATCATGGTCCAGTCCTGGTTTAGTCTCTGCTTTAACCATTGTTTTAGTCCTGGTCCAGTCTTGGTCCAGTCCTGGCTCAGTCCTGGTCCAGACCTGGTTTAGTCCTGGTTTAGTCCTGGTTTAGTCGTGTACAGAGAGACCCTTGCCCCCTGTCCGGAGCCTGGTTCACTGTGATCACTCCCGACCAGAACATTCTGATGTATTTAAGACTTTTATTGTACAGCCATTTTGTTAGTCTAATAATATATATTTATTGGTAAGATTCTATGTTATGTTTTTTTTTTTTTTTTTTTTTTTCAACATTAACATCTTTAGTGTAATAATAATAAAAACATATTTATTTAATATATCTGACGTGTCTTGGTTTTTTTAATGAGGAAAGTTGAGAAGAAGAAAGTAAAAACAAAATTAAAGTGCTTATTTTATGCAATTTTCTGATCTCTGTTCTTCACTCTGTTCCACCTTGTGATGTCATGCGGTAATACAGGAAGGGCTCCATTGTGTTTTTAAACTCCGCACACCTTCACTAGAATCATTTGGATCATTTCAGTCCTGGAATTGCCGATCGCTACTGAACAAAAAGTAAAAAAAAATAGCGTCTAACTTGAAAAACTATCGCTTTGTGACATCACTAGGTGCAACAGAGCATTTTGAGATGTAGACAGACTATTAATAAATTGTTAAAACACAACTCCAGGTCTGTTTTTGAGGAGGTAACAACATTATAAAATAATCTAAAGCTCACAAGAGGCAGTTTTGTGTAATTTAAGCACCTTATTTACAATGGCACATAAACACAATATTAGATCTGGAGTCCAACCCACAACCTTTTTTATTTAGAAACAAAAGGCAGGACAACCACTCTGCCACAGTAACACAGGGAGCACATGCACACTCCACTAGGGCTGCAAAAGTATCAAAAATCTGATCCTCATCGATACTAAAACTAGTATCGAAACTACTGTACTATATACTCATTTTTCACAGGTATCAAAACTAAAAAAGTCAATTTCCCAGGACAGAAATGAACCTTTCCTGAATGTCTCTAGAATATACAGATGTATATTAAAATGTTTTGTGTGCTTTTGCCTTTAAGTAGATGTTAAATTAAGTTGAGATTATTATTTTGACTATAGCAAAAAAATAATAATAATAATAATTGAAATAGAAATTTGGGGATGTTGCAAATTTGCGACAACTAGAACCAAGTTTTTGCCAAAGCGCATGTGCCAGAAGTGGGACTTACAAGTCAGACTTGAGTCACTGTTTTTAAGACTTGAGACATGAGTTGATAAAACTGACTAAAACTTGGGACTCGACTTGGACTTGAAGGTCAATGACTTGGGACTTGGGTTTTGGGAAGAACTTTTAAATTTGAATCTTTCTATTCTGACGTAATGATTCATTCTAAGATCTTGTCAAGACATTTGAAAAGGAAAAAATAACTAAATTAATTTCTACAACTCTTATATACTCTAGTATTATATACTATAAATACTCACATATAAATATACCACAACTTTTTAAGTGCAATTTAGTTTAAAATGACTTAAAACCAGGAGGACAGGACCTTCCTGTGGTCGGCCCTAAACTCTGGAACACTCTGTCCCTCCACGCCCCAACAACCCCACAGTGGAGAGTTTTAAGTCTCGTCTTAAGACCCATTTTTATTCTCTGGCTTTTAACACTGCGTGAGTTGTGTGCTCCTCTGTGTTTTTTATTTATTTTTATGTTTTTATTGGTTTTATTTATTTAATTTATTTATTGGTTTATTTATTTCTATTCTATGATTTTGTTTTCTTTTATTTTACTGGCTTTATTATTTTAAGACTAGTATTATTTTAGTCGTTTATTTTATCATTTTATTATTGTTGTTATTATTATGTATTTGTGCAGCACTTTGGAAACTGTTTGTTTGTGAAATCCGCTATAGAAATAAAGTGGATTGGATTGAATTGAAAACTCATAAATTGCAAAAATCTAAGATATATTTGGTTCTTTGGTTTAAAGAATTGAAATGACTTGAAGCTCAAAGCAGACGACTTGGACTTGACTTGGATTTATGCGCCAGTGACTCGAGACTCAACTTGGACTTGCCTGTATTTGACGCGGGACTTGACTCGGACTTGAGGTCAAAGACTTGAGACTTGCAAAACAACGACTTGGTCCCACCTCTGTCTCTGATTATATCTCGATCCAAACAGTTTGTTGCATATTTGTGGGGAATCAGAGTCAGGATTGTAATTGATTTTAGAAATTTTAGTACCATAACAACACTGCACTTCACTCAGAGATCAGGAGTCTAACCCACAACCTCGTCCTGCTGCGAGGTGGAGCCAGGCTAACCACTCTGCCGCGGTCTCTGGCATTGTGCGTGTTGATAGTGAGCGTGAATGTAATCTTTGCTTCATTCAGGTTTATCGCCCTCTTCATTGACTCACATTCTGAGAACAGGTCTGAGCCGGATCCAGACCTGGACTTCCTGGACGTGTGGACTCGCATGTGTTACAGCAGGACCGGGTTTCAGCAGGATTATAACTGGACTTGGCACCGTGACAGAAAAAGGGTTTATATATTGAACCGTGGTAACGCTGAGGCCAATCAAGTCATTTTGAGGTTAAAGTGCGTTTGGCGGGTTTTATCATTTTATATAAAACCTGTCGTGAAGATAAATAACAGTTTTACACTAGAAGAAGAAATTTGTGATGAAAAATGTGCTGAAAATGACAGGAAGTAAAGAGTTCTAGACCAGTGTCAAACTCATTTTGATTCAGGGGTCGTATCCAACCTACTTTGATCCCAAAGGGGCCGGATCAGAAAACTCATGTCATATAAACCCCAAAAATAACAATAAGTTCAAATGTTTGTGCAGAGAAACACATGAATTCTTTCTTTTACAAAATATTATAATATTATGAACAACCTGAAACTTTAAGAAAAATGCAATTTTAACACAATGTTTTAAGATTAGGTTGTATGCAAATAGGAATAAGTCAATGTTCTATATTTTCTTGGAAAATCCTGCACTCGGCTCCACTTTTCTCATTTTGGACATTTTTCTGATGAGGGTGTCACGGTCAACAGTCAAAACGATCGTCCTTTAAGAGCGTTTGGAAAGAGACAAGTCTTCATTTGTGCTGCTCTGGTGGGAGGGGCCACGTACAGAGACGCTGGAGACACTGCTGTGCTAAGCACCGCAGGAAATTACCAATATTTTAATAGAAAATATAACTGAAATATTTTAGTAGAAAATCAGCTGAGGGCCAGATTAAAGGTCTTGGAGGGCCAGATCCGGTCCCCAGGCCGTATGTTTGACACCCCTGTTCTAGAGCGTTCCCACACCAATTCCACTTGGAAACAGACGCTCCACTATCCGGGATCAACGTGACCCGACCCAGAGTCCTGTACAGGTCCATTTTAGAGACCCACACCCGCCCGGACCGTTAATATTCCACCAATTAACCGTACTGTGATTCCACCCTTAACCCGACTAACCCAGGACTCCAGGACCCAACCAGGATAACCCAGGACTAACCCAGGACTAACCAGGACTAACCCAGGACTAACCCAGGACCAACCCAACCCAGGACTAACCCAGGACTAACCCAGACTAACCCAACCCAGGACTAACCAGGACTAACCCAGGACTAACCCAGGACTAACCAGGACCAACCCAGGATAACCCAGGACTAACCAGGACAACCCAGGACTAACCAGGACCAACCCAGGACTAACCCAGGACAACCCAGGACTAACCAACCAACCCAGGACTAACCCAGGACTAACCCAGGACTAACCCAGACTAACCCAGGACTAACCCAGGACTAACCCAGGACTAACCCAGGACTAACCCAGGACTAAGGTGCGCAGGTGAAAGGGTCACTGCAAAGCTTCACTCTGCACAGACGTAAGTGCAGCTGTTGCCTGATCGAGCTTTGCGGACACCTGCTCCATGGGCTCAGGGTTCTCTCTCTTAAGTCCACGGGTCCCCGACCTGATGCAGGACTCTGACCCGACCTGGTGCAGGACTCTGACCCGACCTGATGCAGGACTCTGACCCGACCTGGCGCAGGACTCTGACCCGACCTGGCTGATGCAGGACTCTGACCCCGAGCTGATGCAGGACTCTGACCCGACCTGGTGCAGGACTCTGACCCGAGCTGCCACAGTGAGAGCTGGAGACATGCAGCGACACTTGTTCCAAAGCCAAATGTTTCTTCTCCCACACTACACACACTCTATATCCACACGACAAATAAGACACAGTGACAGCCCTCCCTGTGTGTGCAGATGTAAACTACAGCGTGAACTGTTTGTGTGCAGCTTAAGGAGGAAATTATGTTACTTCACAAACTGCAGCCTTTGTGATTGGCAGTTTGTGTGCGCTCGAATTACAATTTCAATTCCTCTTTATGCCCCAAACCCTGGTGTCTGATATTAAACTGAAAACGTCTCCCTAAACTGACTCCTTTGAGCTTTTAACCGTGACTGTGATGATGTTTCCTCATGAAAAACATACCTGGAGTTGTTTTATTTCTGTTTGAGAGAAGAACTCAGCCTAAACATGCAACAAAACACAACTCCAGGTTTGTTTGTGATGAGGAAACATTAAAACAGATTTGAAAATAGTGCAACTGGGGCTCTGTTTTGCTGCCAAACGCTGGTGTTGTGGAGGAATAAAGAGTTTAGCACACGTCTCCATGTGAGATTAGCAGGGTTCATATCACTGGGCAGTTGCAGGTGGCAGCTTTGGGCCTAAATCCTTGAACTTTGGGCCCCTTGAGTGGAGGAATGCTGCAGATCTGGGCCCAGATTATCAGGACGGGCTTCATGAGCTGAGTGACTGGAGCTTTAGACTGAGACACGGCTGCTATGGAAACCAACGAACCCAGAGACTCAACAAGAACTTTAGAAATAATCGCTCTTGAGTAGTTTTGGGAATCATTAAGAAATTGCTGATACGATACATACCTCGATACATGGGCCAAGATACGATATATACCTTGATATATAGGGGCCCGGTCAAACAGAAGTAAACAGCAAGACCAAAAGGTAATACATCTGATATAAAAATGTATTGAACAGATACATATGTACTCTAGTTTATGAAACTGTTGAACTTTTTTCTGTACCATTTTTGGTTCTAAAGTTCCATACGTTTTAAACAGACCATGTATGAAACATGGAACAAAAATTATTTCCCAAATTTCAAAGACCTGAAAATCATGTAAATAAATGGATGTATTTCATCATATCTTGTGTTATTCCATCTTTGAACTGTTGATGATGAAGGTACATGATTTTTTTTTATGTATTTAAAATGATAAAAATTTGCTTGGAAGGACTGAC